CGAAAACCTCAACGGCCAAACTCGATTATGTATTAGCCCATGCAAAAGACGATACTCGTCCTTATTTAGCGGTGACTATTTATGGATTTCGATTGTCCGATTTACTTGATTCTGGGGCCAGTTCCACAATCCTTGGTGGACCAGGCTGGAAGATCTTGAGCCCCATCTGTTCGCTCAGTAAATGCGAAACCAGAACATGTCAGGTCAAAACCCTAGATGTGCTAGTCGTACCGTCCCTACCTCATACCTTGATCCTAGGTACCGATTTCTGGAAAGCGATGCAGATCGTACCCGATCTTTTCTCTGGAGAATGGACATTCAGTGAATCAAAGTGCTCTAAAGTACAAGTAATGGGCATAAATTAAATGAGTTCCCTCAATATTGATCAACGACAACAATTAGATAAATTGTTGGCGGAGAGTTTTGCCGCCATGGACACGAGATTAGGTTGTACCTCTTTGGTACTACATCTTCTCCTATCAAGCAAAGGCGTTACCCCGTTAGCCCCGCCTTTCTCAAGCACGTGTATGCTGAATTGGAAAAAATGCTCGAAGATGGAGTAGTTGAGCCCTCTAAGTCCCCATGGTCCTCACCAATTCTCCTCATTAAGAAGAGCGATGGTTTTTACCGCTTTGTTGTTGACTTTCGTCCACTAAATAAGGTTACCGAAAAGGATTCCTACCCGATACCCTTCATTACCCCAACTCTAGATAAGCTAAAGGATGCTAGATACTTGACAACTCTGGACATAAAGTCAGCGTACTTCCAAATACCCCTGTCCGAATCATCAAAACCATTGACCGCTTTCGTCATTCCAGGTCGTGGTGTGTTTCAGTTCCGGCGTATGCCTATGAGACTCCATAATGCCCCAGCCATGTGGCAGAGATTTATCGATAGAGTTATCGGTGTGGATTTGGAGCAAAATGTGATGGTGTACTTAGATGATATAGTTATTTGAACCAACACCTTCGAGAAGCACCTCGAAGTATTGCATGAAGTCCTAGATCGTTTGACCAAAGCTGGCCTAACTCTAAACAAGGATAAATGCCACTTTTGCAGGACAGTATTACATTATCTGGAATATGTGGTTGGAGCCTCTGGCCTGATGGTTGAGCAACAGAAGGGCTTTCCTTCCCACACCGTAGGCAACTGAAATTTCTGTAGACTCTTACACACTGTTTGCTAAAAACTGACTTCTCTCCGCGCGTTCCACAACTTAAGCTCATATTTCCAAGGTCATCCCTTCTACATCTCAAGGTCGTTCACTCCTACAAGGTCACACCCACTCAAGGTCGAGAGTGCTCGAGGTCATATATGTTCCAGGTCACACTTCAAGGTATCTCGGAAACGCAAGGTGACATTTCAAGGTCGCACTTCAAGGTCACTCAAAAACTCAAGGTCACACTCAAGATCACGTTTCAAGGTCACGCTTCAAGGTCACATTTCGAGGTTGGCAGCGAAGGTCAGCTCTCAAGGTCGTTTGGCACCGAAGGTCGGCGCTCAAGGGCGTCCCAGAACATACAAACCCCATCTACTTATGGCAATTGTGTAAAGAGAGAAATCTTACTGCACTCGCGTCAAATATAAAATCTAAGAGTAATACTGATACAGATGAGCTTTTGCGTCAGTGGGACGTGGAAACGGTGTTTCTGAAACTTCGCTTCTGGAAGTAACGCAAGGATCTGATGGAGGGACCCAGGACGCCGCTCCCACTAATTCTGAAGCTTATCCTGGTTATCGTCACTGGAAAGCTGTCATCCCAATCAGCATCCATAATCCATCATGTATTGTGGGCTTAAATTACGGTAGGACCTTTGTCGGGAAGAAATACGTGTCTGGTTTCCTACCTTACAGATGATAAGAGATCAATATATAATTGGTTGAGCTATCAGTCTTTTACCCAAAATGTTACTAACGATGCAGACATAAGATGGTTTGTGAAGGGCATTTACAGGCTGAGGCCTTCTCAACTGAAATATAGATACTGTGGTTATTCTCAACCAATCAAAGGGGTTGCTGGTAAGCTCTGTAGATATTTGAATGAGGAAATCAGCACCACTGCTAGCTCTAAGCTCAGGTCAGAGTGTGCAAACTAATTTAAACAGACAACATCCGGATTGGGTTGAATAATATTGAAATTGGGATTTCTCAGTTTTTGAAGGTTCGGGGTCACTCATGTGGCAACCACTTTTAGTTTTACCGTATTTTACGCCCAAATCTGTGCAGACAAAGGATTTATTTGTCATGGTGCCTCTGCTCCCAGATGGATGAAGTCGGTTTTGGCAGAGAATGTCACAATCGACAGCCCACAGTCATTGAAATGCGTCTACCGTTCCGCCTGCTAAATTATAGTAGTCTCAGGCTCGCGGCGGGCTGGAGTGCGTTTTCTGAGATACGAGATACTATGTTATTACGTTTATTGCTTATTACCGTGTAATGGGTGGTAATTTTTGAACCAGGTACGTCATATTACCTGTTGCTAATAAAAGCCCTAACTTGAGTTGTTAGAATGGAAATCTACATTTAGTTTACACATACATTGCGTACAATTTGTGTAGTTGTGTACAACCTATCGTTTACTATTGCAGAGCGTTAGTAGTATGGTGTTGCAACTAGCTTTGAACATCTACGATATGTATTCTAAATATACTAAGTGACATATAAATCCGAACACCCAGTTTAAATGGTTTTATTTTAATAAAAGTTGGTGAATGTATTTATCTTACTGTAAATAACAAGTGAAAAAATTTTCAGCCTTATCAGTTGGACATTCCGGTTTTTATACTGCTTTTTTTTTATTCACTAACGCTCTAAAAATGAATATTTCAGCCGCAGTCAAGAATCAACGTTGGCGGATTTTGGTTCTTGACATCCTTTACGATCGGTTACGATGCCAAGAGTACGGAGACCTGTACGATTTCGTCAACTTAGTGAGTTTGATAGGGGCCGTATAGTGGGACTTCGGGAAGCTGGACTTTCTTTTCGGGCAATTGCAGTTAGAGTGCAAAGAAGTGTAGACACTGTGGTTAGGTGTTGTCAGGCATGGCTTCGAGAAGGCCGTACGCAAAGAGCAAGGAGCACTGGACGCCGCCGTAGAACAACAGACCGTGAAGATCGCCGCCTAAGATTATTGGCCTTAACGGACCGTTTCTCCACTACCAGGCCCATTGCAAATGAATGGTTTGCAGAACACGGAAGACCTATTGGCATGCGAAGTGTTTACTGACGAATGAGAAGTTTTGGCTTGTTTTCATACCGGCCACACTGGGTCCTCCCTTTAACTCGAGAACACCGACGTAATCGCCTTGAGTGGTGCAGACAACGGTCACTTCTGAGATCAGGAATGGAACAGTATTGTCTTTAGTGACGAGTCTCGATTTTGTTTAGGCATGCACGATGGTCGTGCCAGGGTTAGAAGGCGACGTGGTGAAAGGAGGAATCCACAGTTTTTTGTTGAAAGACATGTTCATCACACTGTTGGAGTTATGGTTTGGGGTGCTATAGCTTATGGTTCCAGGTCACCTTCAATCTTCATCAGAGGTAACATGAACGTGCAGCGTTATATCCACGAAGTTCTAGAACCCTATCTTTTACCCTATCTTGACACCCTGGCAGATCCAACTTTCCAACAAGATAATGCCCGACTACATGTTGCAAGAGTCACAATAGACTTCTTTCAACATAATGATGTCACATTGTTACCATGGCCACCAAGATCTCCCGACTTATCCCCAATTGAGCACGTGTGGGATATGATGGGTAGGAGATTGCTCAATTTGCAACGTCCTCCTCAGACTCTAGAAGCACTTCGAGAGGAGTTGGTGGTTTCCTGGAATGAGATACCACAGGAGGACATTGAGCACCTGATCAGAAGCATGCCTAGGTGCGTTGGAGAATGCGTAGCACATCAGGGTGCATCCACACATTATTAAAGGTCACACGGCTTTAAAGCAGTGCAATCATTTTGAAATTTTGATCATTTACTTATTATGCTTTATTAAGTACTTATACAAAATTTTATTAAAATAAAACCATTTAAACTAGGTGTTCGGATTTATATGTCACTTAGTATATTTACTTAGTCGGGGACGGAACATAATTACATGATCAAACGAACTTACCTGTAAGTGATATTCGATCTTAATTATGTGAAGTCCTCGTCGATCATTTGGTCATGTAATTCTTTTTGTTTTGTGAACCGCAAGTATTACACTTCTTTATTTATTTTTGCATATGAAACCAATGTTTTTTTTTCTATTTCGATTATTGTCATAAGGCAAACTTGTACTTATATGTAGCTCTTATGCTAAAGAAATGCTTTATTATTTAGAAAAGCTGTTTACCTTGCGTTCAGACCAAATACTTCCCCGGCAGAGTAATTTAATACTGGATGAAATCGGGTACTCGGTAAAATGGACCGAGTCCATTTCTAACATCTATAATATAATGTTTTTATAAGAGAAAGATACATTTGGCCGCAACTAGTGATCAAATGAATTTTCTATATATACCCACATTCAAACTATATCCAAAGCAGTTAGCTAGGGAAGGCACTCCAGATACAACATTAAAGGGATATAAATGTAGGTGCCTCGACAAAAATGGATCTTCATGTTTGCACCTTGGTCTCACAATAGTTAAAAATATTGCTACCCATTTACTTCATATGCTTTTTATTTTGCAGTGCTTTTTATTTTACAGTTGACGATAATGAGCACGATGATACAAGAATTTTATTTTGTTTAATGTCCAGTTTAAGAGTCGATTTATTTCTAGCACTCCCCGAAATTGTTGAAAATGTCCGCCTTGGGGGGTATCTGCGATTGAAAATTAAAGAGGGGGAAGTTGTCTGCTGCATGAGTGCTTCTTAGATCGAAATACCCTTGACAATTTTGAAGAGCACGGGGGGGATAGGGAATCGACAGTTGAAAATTGAAGAGGTGGGGAGGTCGTCTGCTTCAGTACTTCTGAGAGCTAATGTCCTTTGTGTTGCCCCCCCCCCTCAAATCAACACCCCTCGGCGGGCCCCAGCGCGTAATGGTCCACTTTTGAAAAATACTGATTTAAATGAACTAGAACAAATTTATATTTATTCAATCTTAGCATTGGTTAACGAATTTATTTCAAGAAACTATGTTAAATAACCTTTATTGAAACATGGTACAAGTTACAATTCTGTGTAGAAAATTACAACAATCCTGAAAAGGTATACATATTAAAGACATCCATTAAAAGTCATAAATATTTGTAGGCACTATAAAAATCCTCTTAATTACATTTGAGAAAGCTTTTTAGCAGGCACTTTCCAAAGATTAAAAAACTAAATTCAATTTTTAATGTACAGCTTATTTAACAAACAAGACATAAAAAGCTAATAAAATCTTCATTATTGGCACTTAAGAATTACTAAATTAGAATATTTGGTTAACCAATATAAAAGACATATTAAGTGAAGTGTATTTAGCACCATCTCAAATTAAGGAGACTTACACAGACAAAATGATATAAAATGTGCGGAATTTCAAAAGCAACAAAATATTGGGTATTTTGGCAGCGTTTTTGTTACTCTAATATCCTAAAAGATTGTCAATAACATTCCATTGAAATCCTTATAAAATAGTGATATGCTCGATAAGTTACATTTTGAAGCTCATGCTACAGCGCGTAATTTCGAGGCTTCTATCTATATTAAAAATTAATAAAGTTTTGGACAAACAGAACAGATATTTGTATATTCTATAGTTGCTAATGTAATATTTGTGTAAGAAGGGTAAACAATAAGTGAACAGAATACGCTTTGGAATTTTATGAAAGTAGTGCTCAAAAGCCTACAAACTGTAAATTTTCATGTTATCATGCTATTCCAGTACCGTTTCTCAAATCATTCCACTTATTTATTTCTTGAAACATTTTATAAGTACAAGAAGGCCCAAAATGTATAAAATTGATTAGATTTACACAGAAAAAAAAACGGCAGATCTCAAAGTTCGGTGTTCACTAATTTTTATGTATATAGTATAGTATATAGTAAATTTTCATTTAATACTCCTACTTGAAAGTCAGACACAACTCATATTATAAAATAAATCGTAATAATGCCGGCCAAAATCTTAAGAAACAAAATGAAAACGGCTGAAATGCATGGGCTTGTTCTTATACGAATTTAAAGCTTCTTGTAGAAGATTCTTGTTTACTACTCTTTGTCATGGATATTGTTTTCTTTTCTATAATTTGCTGAGTTACTGACTTTTTCAACATCCTTTGTTCTAATGTGTCATCGTCCTTAAGTACCGGAGGCTCATTGATGTACTCCATATTAGTAGAGAATGAGGACTGAAACTGTGAGTCTCCGCCATTTGTGAACGTATCAAAACTCTTTTTATCGAAAGGAGAACCGATATTTTCGAAAGTTTTCTTTTCTAAAGGAGATGAAGCTCCAGGTACACTGGTGTAATATTTCTCGCTACTGGAAGAATACGTAGGCTGTGCTGTTGACTTGTAACTTTCATATTTGTAAGTGTTGGTCTTGTAACCTTCGGGAGTTTTTTTAGTACTGGAAACGTACTCCGAACTAGAATAACCGTCAGAGTATTGTTTTGAATCCGATTTTGCAAAGTAGTCAGATGGTTGTGAAATCGGGACAAACTGAGAAGGTTGGTAATGGGATGTGGGGCTAAACTGAGCACCTGGAGTATGCGTTGATGATGTCTTTTGGTACTGCTGATTCGACTGATACTGGGAACTAGTTTGGTTTTGGGGACTGGGCCTGGATTGGTACTGACTCGATGGTTGATATTGACCAGAGGGTTCGTATTGGCTGGAAGATTGGTACTGGCTTGTAGGTTGATACTGCATACTGGACGCATCTCCCTTATCGTACCCACTATAGTGGCTAGGGCACGAGCTGGTGTAACCGTCAGAATAATCTGCCGATGAAGATAATTTAGGTGCTTGTTGTGCGAACGTGGTGTAACCTGAAGGAAAGTTGTTTTGGCCGTACGAATTGGCTCCGGCGCCGTAAGTAGTGTTGTCCAGGTTGTCAATTTGAGAGCGAAGAGAGTCAGTGTGTTTCTGGCGCTCCAGGGAGTTTACCTTTTCCGGGCTTTCTAAGTGACTGTAAGTATCTGGATAGTGTTGTCTTGGAAGTGGCGGAACTTGTGGACGATGATCGGTCGTCTGGCCATATCTGTAAGATTAAAAAGAAAAACAGGAGCTTTTTTCACTGCTTGTTAGTGTTAGATGCTAGTGATTGTTAAATCATTACTCGTTTATTTTAGCTTAAACGTATGCACTGTTAGAGAAAATTTATAAGCTCCAGTTACAAAACGGTAACAGCAGAAAATACCATCTATTAAAGATTTAACTTTTTCTAGGTAGAGTATGCCCCATCCATAAACGTTAACGTTCGCCTTTTTTGACATTCGAATGAATGATTCATATGAGGTAAATTTCAAAAGAGGCACATTAACGTTTACGTATACAGTATTTACGATTGCCAGAATTCCGTTTGGAAATAATTCATACATAATATGCACTCGAAATGAATCATCGAATTCTGACAACATACAAGCACACATAAACAACTAGACACTACTCTTCAGTTGTAGATTTCATTTCTAGTCCATATTAGATTTGAATTTCATGTTAAAACTTGGTAGTACTTACCCGTCTTATTTCGTAACAGACTCTTTAGTAAAACATACCTTCACTCTGTACATGCAAAAGAGAAGTAACACCAGTTATTATTAGTGAAATCAGTGAAGTTATATCATGCTACTATTTTAAAAGCACTAAAAATTTTAAGTATCAATAATGTAGTCCAAAAATACACGCTACGTAATTTTAATAATGTAAAGTTAAATTGAACATGTCAATAATGTCGAATATACAACATCGAAGCAAAATTCATTCGGTGTTTACTTCTACTTGTTAGTATAAACGCTTGAATGCAAATAGATTTTCAAGGTCAGATTCGAATCTGGCCAGATTTCTTTAATGAAACTGAAGAGGATCTTTTAAACAACCAAGCATGAGTCATAAACACTAGCCTAGAAAGATTATGTGCGACTATCTTGTTAGGCTTGTCTTCTGTACCTGTAAATTGTACATGTTCAGTATGAGAGATAGAGAGAGAGATGTTGTTCAAATTCATCATTAATAATGCATTTTTGGACTGGAATAATGCAAACATAACATTTAACAGGAAGATGTGAAACAGTTCATCGATACAGGAAAGTTTACTCAGTTTTTGAATATACCGGGTGTTTCAAATTCGGCTCTCACCATTGGGATATCGGAAACGGTAAGAGACACGAAATCGGTTAAAGGGGACAAAGTTGCGTAATTATGTAATTAAAAAAAATAGTACTTAGCAGGTTAAGCAATTCAGATTATTGCTAAAGATGGTCAAAAAAACGAAACCAGTTATATTAATCAACTATATTTTTTCTAAAGGACGCCATATTGCATGCTTGCACAGGTTAATAGTGTTTAATTCTGATTCGAAAAATGTAGTATACTACCGTCCATACATTGACACTGCCAAACCCAGGTTATTTCTAAAATCACTCGTATTTTCACAAATGTCCACTTGTTTATTATTATATTACATCACCAGTTAAAGATTGCTTTACTTTTTGAAAGTAGGTTAGAAGGACATTCAGATGATTTGTCCATTTATTGACTACATCAGTCGCTGCTTTAGTATGATGGAGCCGCTCTACATGACACCTCAGCGGTAGACGGTATTTGAATGCAAGATGTGTGCATCAGTTGAGTTATGGTGGTTGTTTAGCAACCTGCAGCATCGTTAAGGCTTTTATTTACTATAAAATGTGTCTTCTTCTATTTGTTAGAACTATGCTGTTTTCTATGTTCTGAATACTACCATTAAGAGAAATATGAAAAATCATCTTAGCATTATGTCGTTCTTCATTCAATAAAACCAACTACAGATTACTTTTGTAGACATTTGAATATCACATTAAAGCCTGAAATAGGGTCTGCTAATAAAACCTGAAGGAATGCTTGTCTGATATTATGAAACAAATGACTATCTGATAATTTCAAGTCCTACATAGGAAATTCTGTTTTTAAAATAACTAAGGTTCACATTATACATTTTTTGAATAATTAAGAACTATTTTCATCTGTGCAAAAATACAATAAGGCGTATATAGGGAAAATAAAGTTGATTGAGAGATAAAACGTTATTTTGAAATTATTATCATTATGACACCTTGTAGAGAAGAAATAGTGGCAATGTGAATGTGCGATTTATTATGAAATCAAATCACGAATAATGTCAGGGAAAAGTAAAAACCATTTTGGAAAAATTTGATTTTTTTGTCTCTTCGGAAATACTCGTACTCTGGAATGCGAAAGTTTTTGAATGGACAACAATGCCCCAATTTAACCAACTTCGCATCTCTTACCGCTTTCAAGATCCGAATAGTGAGACTCAAACTTGAAACAGCCGGTATACATTTTTTGCACTTGAGTTTCACATCTTCACTGATTTTACAACAGAGCATATCAAACAAACTATTAATGCTATACTGTAATGCCGCATACCAACCGTTCAAGGGCGGATTCAGGATGTCGTCTTGGGGGGGGGGGGGGGGGGAGAGGGGTGGGTTGGCGCAAACGATATTTGCTAGTGGTAATTTTTCAACCTCAGTGGAACTTCTAGAATTTATCCTATTATTGCTCCTTAAATGAATTGTGTTCTATCTGGTCAATGCCAGCTTGAAAAAAAAAGCGTGGAAAATGCTAAGAAATCCACAGAAAGGCAATATTTTATTATATGAGAACAAAATAAGTACGTGGCATTTATAATTAACTAGTGTAATAATATTGAAGATTAAAACATAAAAAACTTCACTGCTCTGTTAACCGAAAAAAATAAAACATTCTGTAAATGAAAACATAAATAACAATCCGTTCAAAATTAATGACACTACAAACACAAATAAATCATTTTAATACATACGATACGAGTCATTACAGACGTCAGATATTAAGTAAACTGAAAATATCCCTATTCTTAGTGAGTAATTAAAGACTAGACCATGTTCCATTACAGTGCGGAACGAAAATATAACATAGATAACATTATATATACAGTCAGATCGGGGTACTTTAGTCCTACGGTGCTACTTAAGCCCAAACTATTAAAAATTTTTCGCTTTCTGCCATGCCAGCTCATTGCGACGTATCGATGTAGTTCGCCTAGTAATCGATAGATGACTCTATAGTGATATTGGTAGCACATTATCTGGGGCTCACAGCGCATGCGTAGATTTGAGGTTAGGACAACAAGTATCTATCTGCAGAATACGTGAATTTATTGTGTGCAAACTTTCTCACAAAACCAAGTTATCAGGTAAGTTGCAGTTCTTTTACGTGATCAAATGTATCAGATATACATCTGAGATGATGTTGAAATACGAAACAAACGGTAAAAGTAATTTTTGTGGAGAATATATTCAAATTAATATATCAGTATATTTTGGCCCACGCTTTCGGGTATCTTTGGCCCATGGGCCAAAGTATCCTTATAAAGATTTTTCATTATATTTTTACATAACCAGCTAAATTAAGCCATTCATTCGGAATAATGCGTTACTTTTGACCTTTTAGATACACAAAGATGCCTACCATCTATAGAAGGAAAGCGGGAAATCGTCGTTACATTGACTACACTAAAGAGCAGTTGGAGCAATGTTTAAATGACATGAGATCCCAGATACGGACTCAACGGGCGGCTGCAGCTAAGTATAAAATTCCTCGTAGTACGATAAAGAATAAACTGAAGAATAAGCACTGTAACAAACCCGGCCATCCAACTATATTCACAATAGAAGAAGAACAAGCATTTGTTGCCCATGTTACAGAGCTCTCAGAATTTGGGTTTCCGATAACTGATATTGACCTCAAAATTATTATCTAAGACTACTTGTCAGCTCGTGGAAGACAGGTAAAACAGTTTAATAAAAACATACTTGGCACCGAGTGGGTCAGAGGAGATTTGACTGTAGTGTTAGACAATATTCCACAAGAGAATATCTACAACTACGATGAAAGTAGCCTTACCGATGACCCCGGAAAAGAAAGTAATTTGTCGACGTGGCACAAAGTATCCTGAAATGATTGTAAATGCTACAAAAGTAAGTTTTTCAGTCATGTTTTGTGGGAATGCCGTAGAGGAAACTGTTCCGCCATATGTTATTTTTAGGGCAGAGCATTTGTGGTCTACTTGGACTGAAAATGGACCACACGGAACCCGGTATAATAGAACCAAAAGCGGTTGGATTGATAGTATCACGTTTGAGGACTGGTTCGAATCTCATTTACTGCCAATTTTAAAGAAAAAAGATGGCCGCAAAGGGATTATTGGTAACAACTTGTCGTCCCATATAAACAAAAATGTGTTAGAAGCATGCGAGGCCAACAACATTAGTTTTATCTGTTTACCTGCCAATGCAACTCATATTCTTCAGCCACTTGATGTGGCATATTTCAGGCCATTGAAGATTAAATGGCGTCAAGTCTTGCTAGATTGGAAAAATACCCCAGAAGGAAGAAGACTTCCAACCGTGCCGAAGGATCAATTTCATAGACTACTAAAAACTGCACCGGATAGCATGAAAGAAACCCAAAGTTATCTCGTAAACGGGTTCAGGAAAACTGGCATTTATCCTCAGAACGTAGAAGAACCTTTGAGTAGATTGCCAAGGCAAGACAGAATCTAATTTCCGGCGCTTTTATGCAAAATCTGAAGCAATTACGGAGTAACGATAGCCCAAACCGAAAGAATCAAGGCAAGAAGAAAAAGCTAGATGTACCTGCTGGTCGATCCATTCGATCAGAAGATATTTCAGACAGAGAACAAGCTAGTTCTTCAGGAGTAAATAGATTAGATCCTAAGAAAAATGCAAGTCCAGGAAGCGATTGATTAGTGAGGTTTCCTCTTCAGAATGCAGTGACACAGACATAAGTTTGGCATCTTCTTCTGGCACGAGATCAATCTGATGATGAAGAGGACAACTTACGCCTAGCACAGCTTACAAATCGCAATCCCAGAAGCAACTATGATGGAAATCTGGAGGCGCTTGGGCCATCAACTCAGCTACCAGAGCCCATTCCTCCAGATTGCAACACATGGTTTATTGAATATCCGCTTTTAAGAAACTGTTCGAAGTCTGACGGTCAAAGTTGCAGTAATGAAATAAAATTAATCCAGATGATGTACAAAAAGCGGAAGAGGAATATCAAAATGGCGATGGTTACTGTATCAATGATCATGTATTGGTTAAGTGGAATTCACGTGTTTATCCAGGGAAAATTATATCGATATCTGCAGAAGGAGCACTAATACGTTGTATGAAAAAAGGAGAGTTCTGGAGATAGCCTAACATAAAAGATGAGCAATTATACGCTTGGGAGTCAGTGATAACGAAGATTGGAGTACCAAAATTCGTGAAAAATGGACAATTTACTGTACCTGAACTTGATAAAATACGTTCTTTATAAATTAAGCCATAATTTAATTGATTAATTTGAATATGTCTTGACAAGGTTCTCAACTGAGAGATGTTTTGTTTTTATTTTTAGTATTGAGATACGTCTAGTAAATGTATTTCGTAATAAGAGAGAAGACTGTCTGATTTTGTTAAAATAAATAAGAAAAAGTCATGTGCTGGATATATTTTTAATTTTTGTGACTTTTTTTAGTTTTTTTGTGCAATAAAAAGTGCCTAACAATAATATAATATGTCTTTCTTTCATATTTGCCGATATATACTGTTTACTTTGCTCCACCATTAAATAGCAATACCTTGTAATACTTAAAAACCAAGTGGGTCAAAGAAACCATCTCTTAAGTAGAACTTTGGCCCTAACTTTAAAAAAAAAATATGTCTAACCCCGAAGTTATATCAGCATTTTTATGTAATATATAAATAAAAAACAAAATAATACCATTGATTTTAACGTATTAAGGTTAAATACATTATCCAATGATAAGACATTTAAAATTTACGTCACTAGAGACATCGCGCGTTATTTAAACTGAAAACATACCTCTGTTTTGTCGATACTTGAAGACTAGAAAATGTTTTATTACAGTTCTGATGCAAACCATATTTGGTGTTAGATTGTACTAATATAATAAATAAAATAGATACTTTGATAATAAGTACAAATTGCCTTAGGAATGTTTTACTACAGTTTCTTCAACAATTTGTTTGCATGACTATTTTTAATACTAGTACTTTTCGTCTCATTTTTCCATGGTGTGTAAATAGATGACAGAAAAACGTTATCAATTTTATTTAGAAAAAAATTTTGTACCACTTTTTATGCAACTATTCGATCATAACTTGCCAGCAAAGAATAGAAGAGCTTCAAAATTGTATATTAATCTTCCACTTTTACAGTTAATATGAAAGAGTAATTGTTTTTTTTTAAATCTTTTATTTTCTTGAAAACTCGTTTTGTAGCAAACTGAGTTTCCAGGAGAATCAAAGATGTTTTTAAAGAAAAAAAGTGCTAGGAAAAAGGTAAATCACCCATTGTCTGTACTATAAAAGTAGAATATTCACGACTGAATAAAAATTGTATGAAAACGTACAAAAATGCATTTTTGACAAAGATAATTTATAATACCGTTTTTCTGTCATTTCTATATACACCATGAATCAATCAGACGAAAAGTATTAAAAATACTCCTTTGGAGTGAAAGTTTAAGAAAGGGAATGTTCGACCTTAAATGACAAAGTCAAGTCTCCTTTTTTTTATTAGCAAACCGATTTATCACTTTGTCCAAATCTAATGCGATATATCTATGTACATATAATAGAGCTAACCCGTTGAGACGGTCTTCAACCATTGTTGATCGAAAATATGTTTTTAAGAGTTTTTAGGAGTCTAAGCCTGAATACTTCTTTCTGCCGTTGATACGGATACTGTTTTACAGAGCCGCTAATGCGCTGTCAGGTAAATTTTCTGGCACGAAAAACCTGTGTTTGTATAGCTCAACTTCCCCAAGGAGTTGTGTACGTGGCGGATTATTTATCAGAGCTCCATATTCCATTATTATGTTACTTAAATGTTCATTCAATGCATTTTTGTCTTTTATAGTCGAATTTTCACGATTTCATTCAGTATTTCAAAAGAAATCACTGATATTCAGAGACCTTTGACAGCTTCCGTCAAATTGCATTTCGATAAGGTGTTTTCCTATTCGTCCAACAGACCGTCAAATATTAATGTTGGTGAAATTGGCCCTTAATCTATCTTTCAAATCAGTGATTATATTATCTAACAGTGGCATATATATATATATATATAGAGAGAGAAAGGTATATAACAAAAAGTAGGAAAATAATGGGTAAAATCCGCAAAAAGGAGAAAAGTGGATTCGAGCAGAAAATAGGATAGGTAACCCGAACGATACGTATTTCTGCTGGTTGGCTTCATCAGGCCCAAAATGAATGCACATATGAAACTACAAAAGTAGATACATATGCCCACACAACCGGATACGGGTGTAACCTGAGGAACCGAAGATGGAGAGGGAAAAACAACACACGAAGTCCACAACAAGACCCAACCTAACACATTGTAGTATAAAATGGCTAGAAGACCTCGAATTTTCAAGGAGACATCTAACCACAACCACGCGGCTGGTTATAGCCACTTGCTGTGGTACTTCAAGCCCAAATGATCTACAAAGAAAAAATGATCATGCCGAGAAAGGTATATAACAAAAAGTAGGAAAATAATGGGCAAAATCCGCAAAAAGGAGAAAAGTGGAATCGTGCAGAAAATAGGATAGGTAACCCGAGCGATACGTATTGCTGCTATTTCATGAAAGACGGATAGCGTGTGGAATACCAAAGGTTACCAATAAGTCACAATGCCCAGTTCCTATAACTATAACTTATAGTTAGTATGCCTCAGTCGCCATGATGTGTCAGAAAGTAGCACAATGGTGTTAGATTACAAAAGCAAGTGTCAGACGTCTAAGAGGGCACCCACCGGCCCCCCAACCCTAAATCCGCCACTGCAACGGTTTCCGTTCGTACGAGTTATATGTCTCTGATGCCCATAGCTTCGGAATTTTAAGTAATTGGGCAAACATCTCAAATTAGGTGCAAAACTACTCATAGATATCTCTAAATACATAGACACTTCTTACGTAAAGCTGGTACCTATCCCAGCATGAGTCTAACATTTTTATCTTTGGGAGAAAACTTGGTAAAAATTACATCAGTCCTATAAATCTCACAGTATTGCATAAAGCATCCAGTACAATCTATAGCCCAACACCACAAAGCCACTGTTAGTAAAGCGTGCGGTTAGTTCACGGTAAACACACACCTGTCACTCACCGCATTGAATCGGTTTCAGGAGCAGAACTAATGTAACCATCAGTATCGTCACCCGACGTATCGTAACCTTTAAGTTTGTATTTTGCTTGTCGAATTGCAGATAGTTTATTGCGGGCTTCTTCCAATTCCCTTTCTATCCTGCATACTTCGGACCTGCAATGACAAAAAAGTGGTATGGTAGTTAATCTATAATGACGCAATCTATTGCGGCAATTAGGACCGCATTGAGGGCAGTAGGAATCGTCGTTGTCGCGATATCGCTGGTGCCACCTCTTAATGAGAACACGCACGAATTCTAGTGCGGACCACACACACTGGTATTCGTTGAGTGCAATATAAAAATGAACGGCGCGGGTATTACGTATCTTGAAAAGTGACATTATGCTGATTTTTTTTACATTATATTATATATATATTTGATGGTCTATCATGTAAGTTGTATACTATAGCTAAAACGAAACGGCAGTGCATAGTGAGGATTTGTGTGCTAATAATATGTGTTGATGATAATTCCATTGCTAGAAATTAGTTGCGCATTCACCTTTTCTTATTCATTCTTGAAATTAAATTTGCAAGTTTGCTGAATTTCAAAAATGAGGGAGATAAGAAAAGAAAATCCCTGGTTGGTGAAGGAACAGGTGAGAAAATTTGCTACAGACAGGAATATTTATGAAAGTGAAAAGGTTATTACATTATTTCAATTAATTTATTTATTTATTAACTAATAGACAAAATCATCCAGCTGCGATCTTGCTATTCTTTCACATCTTCTCAGAGATGAAAACAACAGACTACTCGGCTTCAGAAAACATATGCAACCTTCAATACGAGAACTTGACTCATCCCTCTATAGATGGACGCTCACAGCTGTCATAGCGAGCAAACGTGGAATGAACTATTTGCACCCTAAAAACTACCTACTCTGTAAGATGACATGTTATTGGTTGCTGCACGGGTATTATGTAAAAAACCTATAAAGCGTCAAAAAAACCTATAAGATGTCATATTGCAGACTAGGTAGTTTTTAGGGTGCAGTCATTCCACGTCTGCTCACTAGGATCGTTGTGAGCGCGATTCAAAGCAATCATCTATGGAGGAATGACTGAACGATACGACATGCTCCTCTCTTCCCAAGTATACATTGTTGCTTGCAGAAAGCCACAGGTTGTAGACTACAAATTGTAGTGTTTAAAAAGTGAAAGAACGAAAGTTTGGTTGAGTAGCAAGACCTCATCTGGATGATTGTATTGGTCTGCATGTGTATAAAATCTGTGATATTTGCTATGTGAGAAAATTATTACTGACTATGCTGCTTTTTTTGAATAGAGATTATGTTATACGTTACGAGTTTTCTCGCTTTTTTGTGTTTTCAAAAGCTTTGAGGAGAATTACAATAAATCTCCACCACGCCCGCGTTGTGTGTAACTATTGTTATTATGTAATATGACTTGTAATTCGACAGTGTACAGTGAATATAATTGTAATATGTGGCAGTATGTAAGTATAAAATAAAAGATTCCACATAAAGTTAATCATCTGCAGTGATTGAATTAATCCATCTTTTGTATGTTACTCCAATTAGCATTTGTTGAACTCAAATTCTAGTTGTCAGTCTTCAACTATTATATTAATGGAAGGAAACAATAACGGTACATAAGAACTCCAGAATAGTTTCTAAAACTGAATGTCTTTTCCACTTGTCACTATTGTCTAACTTATTTTTAAAATCAAATAATATGATTGTTTGGATATTGGCTATATTCTCCTACATGACAAGGCAGACAGTAAATTATATAAATAGATTTAACTCTAATTTTTGGTAGTTCTATTGAGAAGGAATTAGGAAACGAAATCATAACTCAGTTTTGATAGACCTCACTGATGAACAAGAAGTAAATGGAACAATAAGTACTGCAATAAAAAAAGATTCAGCGCCAGGCCTTGCTGGTATTTCAGACAGAGATACTCAAAATCAAATGTTATATTGTAAAAGTAATAGTAAAATTAAATAAAAATATAGTTGTAACTGGAAAATTGCTGGCTGAATATAAAATCAGTAAAATTACCCCACTTTATGAATCACCTTTTAATGCTTACATAATACTTAAATGGTCCTTTTGCTGAAGAAGTAGTTCTTCTATACAACTATACCTAGAGAGCAGTATAAATGGCTGTATTCGAATGAATCAGACATCGGAGTCAATAAAACAAAATATCTAATTCTTAAATAGAAGAATGAATTAGTATAAAAATTCTCAACAAGAATAAATAACGTTGATATAGAAATATTTTAATATCAAGCATCAAATACCTAGGGTTTATTATAGGTATATGAAAGGTGCTGTACTTACTCCCAAACATTTTTTTTAACATGATTAAGTCAATGATAAAATCTGCTTTGATATCTGTTACCCTATTGAGGCATGTGCGGTAAAACCAAATTTCATGAAACTCAAGTTTTACAAAATGGATAATATGTATGCAAAATTTAATATTATTAAACAAGAAATACAGAAATTCTGATCACACATGATGTGCACGACTTTGAAATGAGATTACATAATCTTTACTAGATTCCCACTAAAATAATATTATAGGATTGACTAAATATGTCATTGATGCAATAATATAATAATCTACCACGTAGCGTAAAGAATGTAAAGAATTTATTCAAACATTTTGTAAAAAAACTAAAAGTCACTTGCTATCTTGAATTTATTATTGTTAATATTCGCTCATTGCTGAGATACATTAGTTGTTCTCGAAGCCAGTGTTTTAAATGTATATTTGAGACCTTTGTTAACGAAGTGTTAAGCATTCAAAATACTTGATTTGAACTTTATGGAATTTGTTCGACAATTCATATGATAGCCTTTCATGATCACTAAATGTGATAGTGTTGCATTATTGAATTTTCCAGAAATAAAGCATCAGTACGGCAGATATGCAGTCAAAGGTATCAGGAAAGTGTATGGAATGGATTTCCAAACGCTAAGAAATTCCTTTACTTTTTTGCACAGTGAATGGACTAGGTTTGGAAGGAAGCTCTGACATCTATGAATCCTTTTTTTGGTAGTTACAGGCATGCACGCTTCACAGAGAAAACAGCTCTATCAGCAGTAAATTGAAGAAGTTATCAGCCAATTTTTGGTAAGTTTTACATCTTCCATCACCAAACAATTACAATGTCATTTTGTGCTTGTTATATAGAATAAATCAGCGGCACTCTAGGAGTAATTCTAGAGTAGAGCTACAGTATGGTATATCACTAATAGCCAAATCACCATCATCTCTTGCACCATTCGTCAACTGAACATCCGTGGGGTATGATGGGAATCTTACGGCCTCTTTACCTCATGCTCTACCAACGTCAGCAACAATGCAGCATCGAATTTGGGATGAGGTACCTCATCAGATGCACGCTACGATGACCCTACGTCTACGAGAATGTAATGTATATGGCATTAAGCTAGTCCAAAACATTATTAGGGAGTTATTACAACACTGCCATCCAATATTACTGCCGACCTTACATTAATAATGACAAGTACAGACTGATCTTAAAATTGTTTCACAATTAGAAATATTGGGTGTATTTCAGTGCACGATTTCTAACCTAGAAATTATTTTTAATTTTAATTATAAAGTTTTGCTTTTGTTTTTTGTACTTCTTCGTGTTTTGCAACTTCATTTTTTGATGACCAACTACAAAGTTGGTCATGGAGGAAGTTTTGGAAGCAGTTATTTTAGGTGGTGGTACCAATGAAGATATTGAATATGCAATTATGGACAACATTCTGATAGACCGGGATGAAATGGAGGTTCAGCCTGCTTTTTATTTAAACCATTTGGAAGTCCTGAAAAACTTTAGGTTTCATCAAGAAGACTTACCTAGACTTCGAAATGTTTTGCTTATTCCCGCAGTCGTTGTAACAGATGCTGGAGATAGATGTGATGGTAAGTTAGAAAAATAACACGCATACGAAATGGTAGTGTCTTTTTTATATCTTTCACTCATGTATGCTCAGAAAACCTGTATCTTACCATGTATGCTATTTTTTAAATTGTAGGATTCAAAGCACTCCTAATTCTTCTGAAGAGATTATCCTATCCAGTGAGATTATAATCAGTTCTTTACTTAGTGCCTCTATTCCTGAATAGGCTATTGTTTGTCCATCGTTGTCTATTTTCTGTTGATGCTTAGTCAGCATATCAATTTGTATGAATTAGTCCTCCGGGTACATCTCGATGTTCAATACCCGGCTAGACTGCGTAAATGTCATATCTATTGTAACTTGTAATTTGTAACAGTCTGAACGTATAGATCTCAATAAAGTTTTTTAAAAAGTCTTTTTTAAAGTGATTGATTTAAGATGTATGTATATTTAGAGTACTGCTATGCAATGCTTATTTGCTACATTTCTACTCTGGTTTTTACATACTTTAATATATCGATAAAGAGAAATGGCAATTTACCAAGTTCTATGTACTTCTAATCCACAGAGAAATTTATAATTTACAAAATTATTTACTTGAATTACTTGCAGCAGTTAACTAGATAACAACAAATATGAAAAGGTTTACTTTATAATAAATACTTAAAGCTGTTGATAAACTTCATATTATCCTTTTCTCTAATAGCCCCTCCAGACTCGCGGCGAGGAGTCTCGCCGTGAATTTGCGCGAGAAGCGTGAGTCTGGAGAGGCTAATACTCTTCTCTTTTCTCACCCGAGAAACTCTTTGACTAGGGCGAACATACCATCAGCGATCGGACAACAGGCGAGCACGAGAGTGAGACGGGCGAGCAACAGATTACATTCACGCTGCTCGGGTGTTCTCGCCGTGAGTGTGGAGGCGCTATCAAAAATATGAAATATGTCTTACCGAATTTGGTCCACTTTATCCTTTTTTATGGAAGCTTCAAGCAGTAGCTCCAGATGGTTCTTTAATGTTTTTATAGTAAACGATTTTTGGATTAATATTTCCAAATGCTTTCGAATAATCTCCCAAGCCGAAGGATCGCGAAACGGGTTTTTACAGACAACCTGTTTTAAAAAAGTAAGGTCGTCGTTGTAGGTAAGTCTCAATCTTTTCGGTTTGAATTTTACGTCCAAAGGGTCCATGATTTTCACAAATTAAACACTCACAATCAGCAAACAGTTCTACAAAATAGTAACAACAACACGGCGGCAAAGCAAACTACTGTTAAAAGTAAGGTTATTCGCACAAAAAAAGTAGAAATAATATAAATATACATGGTGCCTCGATTTTAAGCATCCTGTAATAGTGGCAGGCACTAACTTCATTAATTCCAGGATTTGTTTTACTGCGAATGCTCAGATGTCAAATCCGGCCAGGAATTATTGGTGGCTAACTTTATTGGACGTTCAATAACTCCCTATTATACCGAATTCTAGCAATACCGTTATTTTTTTACCTAAATATTCTGTCACGTTTTCCTCTTGCTTACTTCTGACTATATACAAAATTCATTCAAATAAGATCATTTCCAATGGGTGTCCTTTTTATGTCAGAAACAATGTCTACAAAATTGAGAAATGTTTGGTCAGTGACATGGTATCGTGTAAGTTATGGAATCCTGATGATTACCATTTCAACGGTACGGCTAACACTCCCGATGCCCTTGTGATTAGCGCCGTCATCCGGTTTCTAGTTACAGCGTTAGGTGTTATCTTTTTGAGAACATTCCTGACTTTGAATTTTGCTATATTTTACTTCTTATAAACTGAATATGAAATGTAACTAGCGTTGTTGTCATCCTGTTTTCATCCAATAAAGTTCCTGCTATAGTTTCGAACCGAAACCACACTGAGTTTTATTTCTGGCGCTGCGAACAGGATCCCAGGCTTGGTTTCTGTCACCATTGTGAGAAATATCTAATAGACGAGCTGCCCAGCGGTGTCTCCGAGAAAGCCAAAGAGTGAGTTCCTGAGAAAACTGAAGTTAGTACCAGCGAAAGCCAAGAGTTAGTATCAGACGTCGGGAAGGCCCTCCTGTTCTACTTGGACTCTCCGAGTGCCAATATCAAGTAAGAATTTCTATTCTCTTACTGGGAATTCTACCAGAAACTGTCCAGAACCATTGATTGACAAGATGACCACCCCCTATATGAAGCAACAATTGCTGTTGCTGTCCTTGTAAGTAGTTAAGAATTACTATTAAGAAGATTTTGCAACTAAGAAGATTTAATACGTAACCATAAGAAGAATTTATCAAAAAGCCCATTTCTACAAAGAAGATTTTTACTGAAGAATCCAAGTTTGCGTTTTTCAATTGAAATCTAATTTTGTGCATAGCTTTAAGTTTTGTTTTCACCTATTTTTTACTCATTTTTATCCTGCATCTTTTATACATTTTATTTTATGCCTCTTGTTAATCGTTTTGTACCTATCGAAAGAGAAAGATCTTTGAGAATGGCTACCTCAAATCAACAGAATGTCGTTCAGCACGACAAATGCTCAAATAATTTTTAACATGCTAAAAGATTCAATTCCCATATTTGATGGCTATTCAAACAATCTTTCTATATTTTTAAGAAAGTCTACAGAATTTTATAACGCTTTACCTATCCCCTATAAAGGACATGCTTTAATATTTATTAAGTGTAGATTACAATGTGAATCTGCCGAATTTACAGAACAAACTAATCCTATTACTACTGAACATCTTTCTGCTATTTTAACCACTAGATTTAAAGATTACCAAACTAAAGAAAATTTGACTCGGCAACTTTTTGATATTCATACCCCAGACTATAGCGTTTTACATTCAGAAATTTGTAACAAACTTCATGAATTACGAGAATTTGCTCGATTAAATTATCCTCCAGAAATTGCCCCAGCAATGATTGCTAGAATGAACAGATGGCTTTAACCTCCTTTTTATGCGGAATCAATTCCAAATATCATTGCGTTGCATTACAACCACCCCCTAAAAATATAGATGAAGCTAAAGACGGTGCCAAGAACACGACAACCTTTTGCAAACCAAACAATATAAAGAGTTTCTCGTCACTAAGTCTAAGCCTCAGACAAATAAACCTGTTAGACCGCCAATGCAGTCATATAGACCTAACTTTCCCAATTTTGCTAATTTCTCTCATAATCCCTCTACTTCTCGTCCCGCTATTATTTATGGACAACAATTTAGCAACCCACAATCATTTCACAATTCTCGTCCAACTTTTAGACAACCATTCTATACTTCCCCACAAAGTCGTCAATTTTCAAACGCATTCAACCCCTCTCAACACAATTTTGCAAATCGTCCACAATTTCCTATGAATAGGCTCCCTGTCACCAATACTTCAAGACAAAATAATCAAAATCATCCTACGCCTATGTCAACTTCGACGATCCAGTCACGTAGACCTTTTGTAAGACCCAATTTCTTTTCGAATAATGGTCAACACCCTAGCATAGCTGTTCAAGAACTTACTAATAACAAATCCCAACCCACTAATGAAAGCTCTACAGAAAATGTAGCAAACCCCTTCGAATCCTATTATTCTGAAGCTTGTTGTCCAGAAAATCTCGTAGAAGATCAATTTCAATATTATGAAAACGATTATTCTCAAGAAAATTTTCAATCAACTCCTCATCAACAATCCCCAGAATAGACATTGATTTAAACTCTTATGAAAATATTCATCTCCCATATCTCTACAATGAAGCTTTGGATTTACTTATTCTTATAGATACAGGTGCTTCTGCATCTCTTATGAATCCCCCAATTGCCTACGACGAATTTCCGGATTATATTTATCCAAAATGTTTTTCTATCAAAACAGCAATTGAAACCAAAATTGGTACTCACGCTTGTAAGATCCCTATCTTTGATGATCTAGGTATTCCAACAGAAGTTGAATTCTTATTACTCCCATGGCATCAAAAATATGATTGTCTTTTAGGTTACTATGACCTACAGAAATTCCACAGTAATTTTTACATTTCCCATAATATACTTTCCATCGAAAACTTTGAAATTCTATGTCATACTCATAAGGAACCAATAAAAATTCCCAATCAGATTTTCTCACCAAAATGTCTAAAGAAAACAGAAAAGATTCCCGTTGATTCAAATGAATACATTTCTGCATTTCATTCTATAAAAGAAGTACTTTGTAATTGTTTTCCGGACGTAAACTCACTCCACTCTCGGAATGTCCGGGTGGAGGGTGGGCTCGAGGGAACAACATCGAAGATAAAATTTGTTTTTCGAACATCTGCGGGATCAACAGCAACATTGATGCTGTTCATCACTACCTGCAATCCAATCGTCCCGCCGTGCTTTTCTTGGCGGAGACAAAAATCTCAGAGACTGCACCGATTAACCATCTCAACTTCCCAAACTACGAGGTGCACTCCAATCTGAGAAAGAACGGGGGAGTTGTGGCTTTTGTCCGCAGCAGTCTTTCCTGCTCCAGGGATCTTTCTTTGGAATCAGACCGGAAGGACATTCTGTGGCTTCGCCTCAAATCCAAAACATCACCCAAATTTATTTGCTGCCTTTATCGCTCTCCCTCGAACCATAACTGGGATGACCTACTCGAATACCTCGCCGTCCAGATCGATTTCCTGAACATCAATCACCCCGCTTCAGAGGTAGTTCTTCTCGGTGATTTCAATGCCCATAATGAGCTTTGGTTGGGCTAAAATAACACCGATGCAGCAGGTCATGCAGTCGAAGCGTTCGCTCTTACTCAAGGGCTGACCCAGCTGGTGACGAGCCCTACTTTTTTCCCCCGCGTCTCGTCACACGCCAGTAGCCTGCTGGATCTCTTTCTGACCACGCATCCTGCCCCTTACAGCACTGCTGTCCTGTCCCCCCTGGGTAACTCAGATCACGGTGTTGTGGAGGTTAGGTTTCGGTCAGAAGCCGCTGTGGCAGCAGAAACTCGCACAGGCCGCAAAACTTGGCATTACGGACATGCCGACTGGGAGGGGCTCAGAGACTTCTTCTCTAGCTTTCCTTGGAGAGATGTCTGTTTCACTGACGCGGATGCGCCGACTGTCTGTTCTTCAATAACCGAAATTATCCACGTCGGAATAGAGGAATACATCCCTCACACAGTGAAAGTTCCTAAACCAGGGTCCAACGGCTGGTTCAACAAATCGTGTGACACTGCTCGCAAGCAGAAGATCAAGGCCCACAGAACCTACTTACAAAACCCCACTGTAGAGAACAGACAAGCCGACGTCGAGTCCAGAAACAAATATAACGAAGCGGTTCGCAATGCCAAAAACCAGCATGATATAAAAGTTAGGCACAGGGTAATGTCGCAGCGCAATGGCAGT